GAAAAAAAAAAAAAAAAAGAAGAAACTTCTGAAGATCAAGACAGTCTCTCCAACCACTTTTCCAGGCCAAGGAGATAAAAGTTTTATGGGTGGAAAAAGCAATGTAGACTGGCTAGGTCCTGCTAAAATGCTTACCAGGGGCCCAGGGAGATAGCTCAGTAGAATAAGCACTTGCCTAGCAAGCACAGGGTCCTGAGTTCAATCCCTGGTACCACACACACACACACACACACACACACACACACAAATATATATATATATGTTTCATTTTGGGGCCAGGGAGATGGCTCAGTAGAATAAGCACTTCCCTAGCAAGTGCAAGGGCCTGAGTTCAGTCCCCGGTTCCGCTAAATAAATTAAAAAAAAAAAAAAAATGCTTATCAGACTTGAGTCATCTACTTGCTTCACAACTGGTTGTAGACCGCCGCCACCACCACAGTTCCCCACCAGAGTAAAGGAAAGCCCAACCTGACAGAGGGGCCCTGGAATCTCTGGCTTCTAGCATATAAGGAACCGCCCACAACAATCACCCCTGTGAAAAGGAAAGACAGCTTTAGTCAAGTAAGTGAATTGGGTTCCCTGCTGGTAGGTGCCCAGTGTGCAGTGGCTGCACACAGTAACCTCCTCAGTAGTATATATAGCCTGTTGCTTGTATAGGCTGCCCTAAGGGACCTTGGAGACACTCCATCTGGTAGATACTCTGTGTATCTGTCCTCCTGCCATCCCCAAACCAGGCTCCAGACTGGCATGCGGGGTACCTTTGGGAAGCCCCAGAGCACAGTGGCAAGGGTTCCCATTGGACAGCTAATCACGTCTATCTGCACCAAGCTGCAGAACATGTGATCGAGGCCCTACCCAGGGCCAAGTTTAAGTTCCCTGGCCATAGGACGATCCACAGCTCCAAAAAGTAGAACTTTCCCAAGTTCAAACAGATGAATTTGAAGACATGGTGGCCAAGAAGCGCCTCATCCCTGATGGCTGCAGGGTGAAACACATCCCGAATCGCAGTCCCCTGGATGAGGGGCAAGCCCCGCACTCCTGAAGGCTTCCACTGTGCCACCCCCACCCAACAAGTTCATGAATAACTGTTCTCTCTGCTCCGAGAGAGAGAGAGAGAGAGAGAGAGAGAGAGAGAGAGAGAGAGAGAGAGAGAGAGATCAATAGGACATACCGACAAAGGCCAAAGACTGGACACATGGACTAGAATGCAATCCCAAGTACAACCCACACCTGACAAAGATCAGTTAACACATCTCCAAAAATGTCAGGTTTTGTGGATAAAAATATTGCAATAGTCATTACAACTGTATCCTCTAGGGGCCAGGGAGATGGCTCTGGAATAAGTGCTTCCCTGGCAAGCACAAGGGCCTGAGTTCAATCCCTGGTTCTGCAAAAAAAAAAAAAAAAAAGTTAAAAAAAAACCCCAAAAAATGTATCCTCTATGTTTACAGAAGTGGAAACATAATAATGACCAGGCAAACTTCTAGCAATGAAAACTATAACTGAGGGAGATGATATCCTAAATGAACAGATCAGATAGATCAGATGCTGCACACAGGAAAAATAGAAATGATCCAAAATGAAACACAAAAGGAAAAAAAGCTGACATAAAGCAAATACAGTGAATTGTGGGATAGCAGCACGTAGCCAAATGTATATGCAATGAGAGTCCCCAAAGGAGAAGGCACAACCAAAAAGAATCAAATGGCTGTGTGTAGGCAGAATTCTAAAGCAGTATCAGGTTGGGAGTGGTAGTCTCCACCTGCAGTCACAGGACTTGAGGCTGCAGCAAGAGAACTGCCATGAGTCTGAGGCCAGTCTGGGCTACACAGTGAATCACACTCCCAACATATCAGGGTTTTTTTGTTCTCTCTCTTTTTTTTTCTTTTGAGACACAGACTCACTATATAGTTCAGGCTGGCCTAGTTCAGGAAGATCATGGTGATCCTGCCTCGCCTCCTCAGTGCTGGGAATACATGTATGAGCCTTCACAGCCAACAGTCTTCTCCTCTTTGGGAAGTAAAAATTGCAGCCACAGGGACCAGGGGTTTGATCCCCAGGCCTGCTGTGCCAGGCCCGCCCCTGGGGTGCACTGAGAGGCGGGGAATGAGGCTGGTGGTGGCGTGAACCTATAATCCCAGCACTTGGGAGACTAAACAGGAGAATCACGACTCCAATCTAGTAGTGAGACACTGAACACCCTGTAGACCCTTCCCTAAAAAATACAAAATAAATAAATAAAAAGAAAGTAAAGGGCTGGTGAGATGGCTCAGTGGTCTAAAGCACCTACTTAGAACAAGCTAAGCTAAACAAAGCACAGGGACCACGGTTCTAATCCCCCAGCACCACATGCCAGCCAGCACCGCCCCCTTGTGGGCTGAGCTGGCCACACACACACACACACACACACACACACACACACACAATAAATAAATAAACAAATAAAATTTAAAAAAAAAAAAAGAAAGTAAAAATTGTCTGATTACAGTGGCCTAATTTGGTATCATGTATCCCACAGTGAGTATATTGTAGTTCTTCTCCTAGTTTACAGCCCCAACACTACAGAAGACAGAGTAATAACAACCCCCAGAAAGGAGTCAGATGCATCTACCCACAGAGGGACTAGGCAGATAGCTCCTAAGACCAGAATGCACCAAGATTAGGGGAGGCCAAGACAAATTCACACTGTCCTGTGTAGATTCAATCTTTTTCATGCCACCATATTTTTTACCTTATAAAACACATCAGGCACGTACTGCTCGCTGCTGGATTCCTTGGCATAGCCAAGCTCGGGGGCGTCTTTACATGGCAGCAGACATTCATCTCGGACCAGCGCCATACACTGATTGGACACTTGGTACCCTTCAAAGTGTACCTGGTTGTCGGGACCACCTGTAAGAAAGAGAGACCTTCAAAGAGAATCTACCAAAGAACACTCAGGACCAACAGGAAGCAAACTCTCAAGAGTCTGCCTTGGGTAATCTGGCAGGTGGCTGGAGCACGTGGCCTTGGACATAAGCATATGACTGCTGATCTGCCCTCCACAGCCACCTGTATCTGAAATAGGTGTCACTCATTACATGTCTGTTTAACAGTTGGGAATCCAAACGTCACACATCCTCCAACACCAGCTACAGCCATACTGAGTGCCATCAAACATTCAAGCTCTTGGATTTTACCACCAGGGTGTAAAGAACAGACAGAGCCCTGCATTCCACAGTCTTTGGTGCCTGAGTAAACAGGATGTGGACAGTGATAAATTAATCTGGAGACAAGCAGGGGTACCAAGTGTGGGAGAACTAGACATAAGCAATGTTCAGTAAAAACAGTCCTAGCAGTCACAGCACACACTCCTAGCAGTCACAGCACACACATGACAGACTCTACCTTACAGAAACCTATATGATTACATCAAGTCTGGGCACTAGGCATCAACTTACACATGAGGAGGTGTGGGTATGATGACAGAGCCAAGGTGACATGTGGGCCCCAGATGGGGTCTCTTCACAGTCTATGCTCATACTTGTGCAAAACTCTATGGCATCTCCTCTCCCCCTCTACAAGCTCCTCTCAATAAGAACTTTAAAGTCAGGGCCTTGGATAGTGTAAAAGGCTGCAAAAGGGAGTACTTCCATCAGTTATGCCAGATTCTTAAATCGGGAGGCTACCCAAGGTCATGGAGCAGATGTCACTAGAATTAGTTACACCATGACAACTGCATGGTCCATCTTTACACCTCCACGGAGTAAAAAACCCTCAAAATCTGTCTTCCCATTTGACAAAAGCATAGTACCTTACTGATTTGGCATCATAAGGTCAGTCTGGCTTTCAAACATCTACCAGAAACCATGTCTAATGACCAGAAATCAGAAAAAGTGACCAACAGGGGCACAGCGAGCCCTAAACGGGGAAAGCAGGCTGCTGTCTGCTTTGCACTCAGGAGGAGGATTGCACCTGGTTGCAAAATACTAAGTCAAACTTGCTCCAAAGATTGTACCCACTGTGTCTAATACTCTCTTTCTGGCCTGACTCAGGTGATCACTAACACCTCAGCAGCACACAGTCTCAGCTCCATAGTGTGGCCCAGAGCATGGACATCACACCACAACTTGAATTTACAGTCTGGAACAGTCAGAAGAGTCACCATGCACACACTTGCTCATGTTTCACTGTGAGCATCATAAACCCACACTGGTGCTTAGATCTATCATTAAGATGTGGTCAGTCAATAAAGAAAGAAAAGCCTGGCCTTTGAGGATAAGAGAAAAATGAAATGTAGTATTTATAAAATTGAAGACTGTTAAAAAAAGCAACATTCTTCCAGATAGGTAGTCTCCAAAGGCACTTAGCCAAAATGAACTGCAAACAGTTCTCCCCACTCCCATGTGGAGTAGCAAGTAGTGTACATCACCATTCACAATTGCTCCCTGTGCAGACAGAGCAGACTGCCAAGAACTACCCAGGGGATACACTACATCACCAGAAAAGGGGCAGCAGCAAAAAAGTGAGCTGCAGCTGAAGTTTAGGTCCATTCCTGTCTTTTGAAATCTGATCCTCAGTAAGTAATTTTCACAGCCAAGGAGCTCTATGTGACGACTGAAATCCCAGAGACATCAAGAGCAGTGTGAAGCTATGACTCAGGTTCTGTAATATACTGTCCTTCCACAAATTCCTTCTGGTTGACTCAAGCAAATCTGTGCAAACCACTGGAAGGGCCGTGTGTAATTCTGGAAGCAGGAGGAACAGTGTCTTTCTGAGCTCTGCCTGGGGAAACACCAAGCAGCAGAGGCTCTGGATTCTGGGAAGCATCATCAACAAACATGCAAGCTCACATCTTCCTGCTCAAAAAGGGATTTAGGGAAGAGACTGCGGCAAGTGTACTTTCTAACAGCTTTTCAGGGTCCCCACTTGTCCTTTGGCCAAGGGACCTTAATAAAGGAAAGAGGGCAAATTTTATTTGTAGTTAGGAAATCTATGTCCCAGCTACTAAAATCTCAAGTTAAAATCTGTTAAAAAGAAAAAAAAAAAAAAGAAAAAGAAAAAAGAAAAAGGGCCGGGGAGGTGGCTCAGTGGCATAAGCGCTTCCCTGGCAAGCGCAAGGGCCTGAGTTCAATCCCCAGTTCCACCAAAAAAAAAAAAAAAAATCTGTTAGTCCTCTAGCCAGGCATGGTGGTACATTACTGAAATCCCCACACTTAGGAGATTGAGGCAGGTGGATCAGTGTGAGTTTGAGGCCATCCTGGATTTCAGAGTCACTTATGTAACAAGAATTTGCCTTAAAAAAAAAAAAAAAAAAAAAAAAAAGAACCAAAGAAAAAAGAAAAGAAAAGAAGCTGAATTCCCATTACTTTGTTTAGTGAAATGTATAATTGCTAATGCTTTGTTTTTCTATTTGTTTTGTATTCTTTAAAAAAAAAAAAAAAAAAAAAAGCCTGGTGTGGTGTCACACATTTGTAATCCCAGCACTGGGGAGGCTGAGGCAGGAGGACTGTCACAAGTTTGAGGCCAGCCTGGGTTATAAAGTTGAGTCTAAGGTGAGCCTGAACTACCTAGTGAGGCTTTGAAAAGAGAAAGAGGCTCTACTATCTACAGACACTCTTAGGCCAGTGTCCTCTTAGGAAGGGTGACAAGGACAAGACTAAGCACCAAGAGAACCACCCAGTACCCAGATACACAAGGATTCCTATTGCAGATACAATATCTTCCTCTAGTCCCATAATCTTCCACTAGGTGCTGGTTCCCAAGTACAGACTTCATGGAGAAGCCATAGATTTCTAACTTTCAACAGGAGGTGTGACTTAGTAATTGAAGGTAACAGTCCCCAAGTTAGAAACTACTTATAATTTTAGAAATGTGCTAGTTCTTTTGGCCCAAGGGACAATTTCCCCATGGAGACAGTAATTAAAAGGGATGAGTTACCATGAGAGCCCAGAACAGCAATTCTGGAAGTTTTTGAAGGTGTTTCTGGTTGTCTCAATAATGGGGCAGTGCCACCTGTGGGTGGGGTCAAATTTGCCAGGCATCTTGCCAGGGGTAGAGAAACCACATTCTCTTACATATGTATGACATATGCAAATACACCACTCACAAGAAGTACTTCGTAGGGCCAGCCAAATAGCTCAGTGGATTAAAGCACCTGCAAGCAGGTACAGGGACCAGGGGTTCAATCCCCGGGCCTACCGTGCTGGCCCCGTCCTAAGACGGTGGCAAATGAGATGGGCATGGTGACGTGCGCCTGTAATCCCAGCATTTGGGAAGTTGTAAACAGGAGAATCACTATGAGTTCAATCTAGTTGTGAGACCCTGAACACCCTGTAGACCCTTTTCTAAAATACAGAAAAAGGGCTGGTGAGATGGCTCAGTGGTCTGGAGCACCTACTTAGAACAAGCTAAGCCAAGCAAAGCACAGGGACCTCGGTTCAATCCCCAGCACCACATGCCAGCCCGCCCGCCCCCTGGTGGGCTGAGCTGGCCACACACAAAATAAATAAATAAATAAATAAATATTTAAAAAATTAAAATTAAAAAATAAATAAAATACAGAAGAAGAAGAAGAACAACTACTACTACTACTACTTCTTCATATCATATGTTCTCTTCAACATTCCCTACAAACTTATGCAGGTAAAACCCCATTTAGGAGGATCAGACACAAACTACTTTATGAATGCTGCCAGAATACATTTCACAGTTCCAACACTGCTGACACTTCTAGGACTACAAAAGCGTTGAGAGGCATACCCCTTGGTCCAGAAGGAATGAAAGCCGGGAGCATCTGAGGAAGCTGCATTTGTATGGCTGGGCCAGCAGGCCATACGTACCCACACAGAAGCCCTGCTCCCTACACCATGCTCACTGGCCAGGCACTGGCACATAGAGATAGTCGGCACTCCTGTGCACCTCTCCTTCCATGCTCCTGTGATATGACAGTTAGGAGGGTGTGCTTTGCTTCCTTGTCAAAACCGTGTATAGACAGCCAACATGACTTTTATTATTAGAAGAAAAGATTTTCATTTGGAGGAAAATGTCAGAGCAGCTGTTGTTTGTTGTTTTGTCATGTTTTTCAGTACTGGGGTTTGAACCCATGGCCTTTACACAAGCTACACCCCAGCAATTGGGAGGCTGAGACAGAGGATCACAAGTTTGAGGACTGGGGAGAAAGCTCAGTGGCTTAAGTGTCTGCCTAGCAAGCACAAAGTCCTGAGTTTGGTCCCCAGTATCAAAAAAAACAGTTTCAGGCCAGCAATTTAGGGGAGACTCTGGACAATTTAGGAAGACACTGTCTCCAAAATAAAGGTGTCTGTCAATTCAACACTATCTTAAAGCAATGAACTTCAAGTATGCTAGCATACAGCTGGCTGAGAAATTCTGGCAGTGGAAGGCTGTGGTCAATGGTTCCTCAGCAATGGAAATCAGATCCAGTTCCTTATATACAGACAGGCTGCTTATAAGCTGGCAGCTTTTTTTTTTTTCCATAATTTTATTGAGAAAAAATTGGCAATGAGACAGTTTCAAAACCTATCAGTAGGGCAGTTTCAATAATATATACATTGCACATTGTTGTCTCAGTGGTTATTCACTGTACAAGATTCAGACATGACATCAAGCAGGCAGATCGCATAGGGTCAATGTAACAGAATTGGGAGAAGGGTACCAAGAAAACTAGAAAACTGGACGCTTGTCTCCGTAAAGGTCAAAGCCTAGGGCTGCAAATGATACAGGTTTCTTTATTTTGCTATGTTTTGTTTTTTGAAACAGGATCTTGCTGCCCCTGAACTAACAATATAGCTCATGCTGGCCTCAAGCTTGCGGCAATCCTCCTATCTCAGCCTCTTGCATGCTGGGATTACAGGTATGTGCCATCATGTCAGGCTTACTGCTTACTTAAAATATAATAAAACAGGGCTAGTGGCATAGCACTAGCCTATGCTAACAAATGCAAGGCCCTCAGTTGTTTTTATTTATTTTTTTGTTTGTTTTTGTTTATTTTGTTTTTTTGGGTATTTAGTACAGGATCTACATGGTCTCATTGCACAGATTAGACTCATAGTGATCCCCCTGTTTTCAGCCTCCCAATCACTGGGATTACATTACAGGCACATCACTGTCTCAGCATGCCCCAGGGGCAGGGCTGGCACAGATCAAACCTGGGTTGCTGCTTTTGCCTAAGCAAGTGCTTAATCCACTGAGCTATCTGGCCAGCCCTGCAAGGCCCTGAGTTTAACACCACACAACCAAAAGAAAGAAAAATACAAAATCTGATTAAACAAACTGTGTGTTTATGACTTGACTGCAAATTTCAAATTTCTACTCCTTTTAATACAGAAGACTTGATAGTACATCTTTACAGACCACAATCTCTTATATACAGTATATCTTTAAGATGTATATAACATATGAACACATCCTCAAAAAGTTTTACAGAAATGGTTTCTCAGAACAAGCCCTATTTTTTTTTGGGGGGGGGGTGGGCTTGAGACAAGAGTCTTGTTTTATATACTTTTAGCTAGCCTTGAACTCCAGGCAATCCTAACTCAGCCTCCCACATAGTGGGGTTAGAGGTGTCAATACCATACCCAGCTAAAGGTCCCATTCATAATCTCAATAATATGTAGGTTACAGTCCCTCTCCTCACACAGACAGCTTATACCACTGTTGCAGGAAAAGGGCACAGTAGCCCCAAGCTCAGATCCAAAAATTGAGTTCACCTGGATTTATGATGTAAGCATTAGACTATAGGAAAGCCACACTGAAGCCCTGTTATCAGGATGATGCTGGTAAATCTGTACCACCAAGATTGAAGGAAAACTCTATTCCCACAGGTACATTAACAACATCTATTATGACTAAGTTAAGATGAAAAGCTGCTGGAAAGAATAAGATATATTAGCAGGGCAGTACTATTTACACTATTCTGTCCTTGTTTATACCTGTGGCCACTGCAGTAACAAACTTGGATCCAAAATGGCCATCAGGGGAGAGCCGACAGATGTTGGGGTGCTTGTTTTGGAAGTCTCCTGCAGTGATGCACTCTTCTGAACTCAGAAAGTAAGTGTCCTATGACAAGAGAGGTGGCACATCAGATTTTATGGCATCATATCAAATAGACTTTTATCTCTTCTTCAGAAAATAGTAAAAGGTGAACTACATCAAAACAAACAGACATAATTCCTAGCCATTGCAGACTCAGACCAGGAAGAAATGAGAATCTATCCCCATGAGTCTGTAGGGTGCTCTGCTCTAAGGACAGAACCAAGACCCAACCCTAATTTACTAAGAAGCCTGGTTTGGAAGTTTATGTGAGCTGTGCAGCACCCTAAGCCACAAGTCAGCACGATTCATGCCAGGCTCAGGACCACGTCAGCACTCCTATCTCAGCCTCACCTTATTTCGACTGTATCGGACTGTGCCCTTGCGGGTATCTTCTGAGACGAGGTCTGTGAATATCCAGCCAACCTTAATGAAAAAGGAAAGTATCTTTTGAATCTCTCCCTAAAACAGATGGTGATGATTCCTGGCTTCTGCCCAAGGAGTGTGAGAAGAGTGTCCTAGCAAAGAGCCTTTCCTTCCTGCAAGTCAGGTGAGCAGCTCCTCACAAAGCTGCCAGGCCACACCAGGGCTCCCAAGTTCCACTCGGTATAAAAGTGGCCTCCTCCCTCTGTTGCTACTCAGTTGGGCAAATGCAGAGCCCATTTAGCCATTGAAAAGAGTTCTGTTCAGCACAACTGCCCACACTGTGCACAGTACAGGTACTACAGTTTTAATGAAACCAACAAGGTATAGTGAAAGAGAACTTACAACAAAGAGAAAGAGAGAAAAGCTAACACTAAGAAGTTTCCAAAGTTACATTTTTCTCTACAAGGTTTAAAAAAAATACTGTGGGGAAAAGCTCTTAAGCTTTTAAAAGGTGACCTCCCTCCACTGGCTCAGTGACCCAGTGCAGGAATAGGAAGAAAGGTCTGAAGTCACAGGATCCAGAAGACCCATCCCTGGGGCACTTGAAAAGCCAGTCCTGGAGCTTGGGCAGGATGCCTGCTGTTGTGTGATACAGGCCTGCTTTGGCTCCCTGAGTCAGAATTGATGAGGCTGTGAACAGTGCTAGAAGCCAGGCACAGTTGTCTACCTCTGTCTTTGGGAATGATGGTTGACCACTGCCCTCTCCAGTACAGCCTACTCTGCTCTTCAAACCATCCCTGATGATGAGTGCACTCAGGATTGTCCCTTAAATCAGATGTCCCAGGCCAACAGAGGCCAAAGGAGATTGACAGAGAAGAAATTGAGACTGGAGGATCAGGCTAATCAGACAGTATAGGGGTAATTAGGCATACCTCAAGCAGAGCCAAAATGAAATCCAGATAAGGAACTGGTCGTTTATAAAAGGCACTTGGATAACTTTGAGACTTTGTGCTATGTTGCCATGAACTGAAAAGTTGTCACACACATAGGTCAAAATACTAGACCAGATTCTCCCTTAAACAAAAATCTTCAGAACAGAAACTAAAATGATCCTATGTTAAGATGCTCACTTCCTGTTAAAAACTGTTAAGATTTTTTTTTTCCTTAACAGGGTAAAAACTAGGGGCCAGGGAGATGGCTCAATGGAATAGGCGCTTCTCTAGCAAGCGCAAGGGTCTGAGTTCAATCCTTGGTTCCACCAAAAAAAAAAAAGGTAAAACTACACAGTTTAGTGCAAACGAGCCTGGACTACGTAGGCTCAAAAAACAAAAAAAAAAAAAAAAAAAAGGTAAAAACTGTATTGTCTTTACTTAGTATATTCCTGGGCTTTAAAGCTTTAAATCACATTGCTGGCCCATTCCCCAAGCTACCTTTTTATTTATTTATTTATTTGTTAAGTGTATTTGGTACAGGGTCTCACTAAGCAGATAGGACTCAGGATCCTCCTAATTTCAGCCTCTCCAGTGCTGGGATTATAGATGTATGCCACCACACCTAGACTCCCCAAGCTACCTTTACCTGTAGAGAAATAAAATAATCCAGACAACTTCTCAATTAGGAATAAAGGATAAAATTTATATAGCTACTAAAACTGAACTTATATCAGTTCAAATTCATAGTTTAATTTGTCTATACATACCATCTATAGCTGGGTGGAGCATGCCTATAGTCCCAGGATTTAGTAGGCTGTGGCAAGAGGATTATGAATTCAAGGCCTAAGCTTCACAGTGATTCAAGGCCAGCCTGAACTATCTATCAAGACCCTATCTCAGCAAAACCAACAAACAAACAAAAAAATCTATCAATCTGATGTTACTGGAACCCTTATCATGGATTTGACACAAACCTATCAACAGCCTCAAAGAAAATTTTCTCTCTTTTTTTATTTTATATTTTGTTGTTGTTGTTGCTTTTTGTGCGAGGAATCAAACTCAGAACTTCACTCATGCCAGGCAGGCACTGTATCACTAAGCTAAATCTCCAGCCTCTCCTGTCTTTTAACTGAACCAGAAACTAAGACGATACCAGGCTCAGACACTTAAATAATAAAAGGAAATCTAATTGATAATAAACAAAGCAATACCAGGAGTACTGCATGCATGGGACAGAAAATAAACCAAGCAACGTAAGGTGAATCACTAGCCAGAAGTGGTGTAGCGGACATATTTTTAAGTGATGGGTCAGTCCTAGGTAGACACCATGTTTTATGCTTAATCAAGCAGTCCCATCTCATTCTAAATCAAAGGATCATCAAAGTCACATGTGAACACAAGTGAAGCTCCATGTGAGTCAAACCTGAGCATGACCATGTGCAGCTAAGTCGGTCCCACACTAGGTCTGGGCCCCCTGCCTGCCTAGATATCCCCAGTACAGAGCTTGGGTGCCCCCCAAAAGACCCTATTTCACAAGAAGACCTCATACCTTCCTTAGGCCAAGTTTGGCAGCAATCTCATCAACTACCTCAGCTTTCGGGTCTTCTAGAAGTTCCAGGCTGTTCTGTGTACCAATCTGTCAGGAGTGAAAGGGAGAAAACAAAGTCAGAGAACAGGCACTGAAGAGCAGTGCCCCCCACTCTCTTTCCCCTCCAGGGCTACAGCAACCGCCTTCTTCCTCTGGGAGAACTGCCCCCAACCTTCTGCTCTTTCTCTTTTTGGGCTGTACAGCCAGGAACACTGCAACCTTCAGTCTGGGTGTGCCCCAATGCTGTGGATGCAGGAAAGAAAAGTAGTTTATGCTGTTGGACTGGAAGGTTTCCTCAACTAAGGAATAAGATTATTTTCAAAATTCCCTTGGATAAGCAGTTCTGCTCCAGACAGGTTTTGCAAACAGGCAAGACTGTTTTATGTAAGGTAGCACTCATCCCAGAATCAGCCTTAGAGCATTCATTTTTCATTGCTGCAACGTTGATGCTTGCTCCACTACCAAGACACTGATTCAGAGAGACAGCCGAACCCATGCTGTAGTGACTTGCACTTGCAGCAAATGGCAAGGCCTTGCACACTGTAAATTCACTGCAAGGAGGCAGAAACACTTGGCTCTGGCTATGTCCACAAGACATTGGTTTTCTGGAGGGAACAAAGCTTGCCAAAATCTTTTGAGACAGAGTCGCACTGTGTACTTCAGACTGACCTTGAACTCACTACGTAACCCAGGTTGGCTTTAAACTCACAGGGTCCTCTTGCCTCGGCTTCCCTTCTGCCACAGACTTCTGAGTACTGGGATTACAAATAGGTGTGCACCACCATACCTGGCCTCTTTCTCAAATTTTGGCAAAACAGCAAAAAATTATACTTCCTGAGTAACATTCATGTGCAATGCATGAATACTTTTCAAATCCAAAGCAAGGTCCAAATCTAGGGAAGATACTTGTAATGAGCTGTGGCAGCATGGGCTTTAAATTCTTTTTTTTTGTTTTTTATTCTTTGGCGGAACCGGGGATTGAACTCAGGCCCTTGCGCTTGCCAGGAAAGCGCTTATTCTACTGAGCTATCTCTCTAGCCCCATGGGCTGTAAATTCTAACAAATGAGAAGTGACAATAGAAATCAACTGTTTCAACCTCCAGGACCCATAAGTCAGGAGCTCGGGTGATGCTACTAGAAGTCCGTGAATTTTTTTCTTTTTTTTGTGGAACTGGGGATTGATGTCAGGCCCTTTTATTTTACTGAGCTATCTCCCCAAACCCCGCTACTAGAAGTCTGAACGCTAAAAGTTTTGGGTTTATTTGTTTTGTAGTACTGGTAATTAAACCCATAGCCTCACACATAGTACACAAGTGCTCTACAATTGATCTATATAACTAGTCCATTTTGTTTATTTTTTTTAATCTTGTGACAGAGTCTCACTATGTGGTCTGGGCAGAAGTCAAATTTGCAATCCTCCTACCTTAGCAAGTAGCCAAGATTACAGGTATGTACCACCATGCAAAATAAAGGTTTCCATTCCAAATTAGAGGTTTTGGGGGCCTGGCCCTAGCTCAGTTCTTTAAGTGGCTGCTTCCACAAAGCTGTCAGCCTCAGGTTACTGTGGTTAGATCCCCACAACTCAAGCCAGCCAAACCTGCCCTGAAGGCATTCAGAGAAAAAAAAAAATCCTTCTGCCTTTGCCAGGGAAATGGCTCAGTGGAATAAGCGCTTCCCTGGCAAGCGCAGGGGCCTGAGTTCAATCCCTGGTTCGGAAGGAAAAAAAAAAAAACCAAACCCCCACCCCCCAAATTAGAGGTTTTCATTCCAATTTTTTTCACTTGTATGTTAACAGAACCCTTAAATTCTTCATGAAAGAGGTTCTCCACAAAACTGAAAGTTCAAACTGTGCGTGGTAGCTCATACCTGCAGTCCCAGAATTTGGGCAAGGCAGGAGGATCGTGAGTTCAAGGCCAGCCTAGGTTACATAGTGAGTTCAAGACCAGCCTGAATGAAAAACACAGTGAGACCCTGCCTCAACATTCCCTCCCTCAAACCCATATTGTCTCTCAGATGGGTCTCTGTTGCTATCTGATATTGCTTTGTGAATGCACCATCACTTTAACTTTTTTTTCATTTTAGGAAAGGGTCAACAAGGTGTTCAGGGTCTCACTACTAGATTGGACTTGTAGTGATCCAACTCCTAAGAGCTGGGATTACAGGTGCACACCACCATGCCCATCTCAGTCTTAATTGCTATCTCAGAGTGCCCCTGGGGCAGGGCCGGCACAGCAGACCCGGGATCGAACCCCCGGCCCCTGTGCCTACTTTCAGGCTTTAATCTGCTGAGCTATTTGGCTGGTCCAAACAATTCCAGAGATATCTGGAAGAATTTTTATTGTAATTTTTAAATTTTATTTATTTATTGTTTTTAAGCAGCAGAGATCAAACTCAGGATCTTGTGCTTGCCAGGCAGGTGCTTAAGCCACTGAGCTATCTCTCTGGTCCTTGAATGCATGATCACAAAAGACCTCAAGAAAGCTACTTTACAATCCCAGGGCAATATGCATTCAGAATCTGTACAACATATTCAGGGAGGTTAATCCACTTGTTAGGAGCCACATATACTCCTGCACCCTAACCAGCATCTGCCTATAGTCAGCAGTCTCAGGTCCTGCCCATGGGCCCTGAGACACATAACCCAGCAGCAGTTCCCAGGCACCAACTCCAGGCTGGGTGGTCTTAGAGCAGGTCAGCCAGAGTGACCTGCAGAACAGAGGGAGGTGAGAAAAGCACAGGTAGTGCAATGTATACACAGAGAAAGAAGAACACAGTACCACTATGAGCGCCTGTGTATCTGCTTAGGCTGAAAAGTCATGGGTTCAAAACTGAGGCACCGAGGTTCCAAGCCAGAGAGAGCATATCTAAGTGGCATTAAACTGACTCTGCAACTATGTGTAGGTTTTTTTTTTTTTCCTGCCAACTTCTCCCATAAAACATCGAACAGAGTTGGTCAGACAGCTCAGCAGACTAAAGTGTCTGCCCAGGCAGATGCAGGGACTGGGGTTTGATCCCCAGCACACCATGCCAGGCCCGCCCCTGGGGCTTGCTAAAACAGTGAATGAGACTAGCATGGTGGTGTACACCTGTAATCCCAGCCCTTGGGAGGCTGAAAACAGGACGATCAATATGAGTTTGATATGTGTACTGAGACCCTGTAGACTGTCTACTAAATACAAAAAAAAAAAATCAAACATATAATAAAGTCTAACGAACTTTATTTACAGTGGACACCTATACCATTTAGATTCAGGCATAAACATGTCTGTCCTTCTTTTAGTACTTTTGTGGGTACAGTAATCAAACTCAGGACCTTGTGCTTTCCAGGCAGGCATGTGTGCTATTGAGCTATATCCCCAGCCCTGTTTTGTTTCTTTGAGACAAGAGTTTCACTATGTAGCTCAGGCTGGCTTTGAGTTCCTCTTGCCTCAGCCTCCTGAGTGCTGGGATTACAGGCTGGCACCACCATGTTGTTCATCTGCCCATCTTGTCACTTACCTATTTAGTTTATTTTTCTGTTCAATTTTAAAGCAGATTGCACATGCACATGTCACTCAAAACATACTACAGGTATCTAGAATTCAGTATTTGTTTAGTTTTGCATGTGTTGTTGTTTTTCAGATCCTACGGATTAAACCCTGGGACTTTGTACTACATCCCCAGCCCTCTTTATTTTTTATTTTGAGACAGAACCTTACTAAATTGACCAGTATAGACTCCAACTTTTATGCTGGGGATATAGCTCAGAGCAGAAGTGCCTGCTTGACAAGCACAAGGTCCCAAATTCAATCCCAGGTACCATAAAAACAAACAAACAAAAAGCCCTCAAACTTGTGACTCTCCTGGTTCACTCTCTCAGAGTACTGGGATTACAGATACTACTACATTCAATAGATTATTATTTTATAACAAAATTTATATAATGAAACACATATAAACACTAATCATAAAGCAAATTAAAACTTACATAAACACACAGACACTTGGGGGCTGGTGAGATGGCTCAGTGGTCTAAAGCACCTATTTAGAACAAACTAAAAGCACAGGGACCGTGGTTCAATCCCCCAGCACCACATGCCAGCCAGCCCCGCCCCCTGGTGGGCTGAGCTGGCCACA